ATATTTGGAGGCCACGCTTCAAAGTAGCTAATCCTTCGTTAGGCAGGATAGCCTGGGTGACCTGTCTTCCTGTCTGCCACACAGGTGTCTCGCAAGATGTCTGCTCCTTGCCAACAGGCCACAAGAGTTCTCTCTCCTCTCCCCCCACCTTCTTTCCATTTGCCACCTGCCTTTTTCTCTTATACCTACATCCTTAAGTTTGTTCTCCCTGTTGGTCCTGCAAGCTCGTGACCACCCAGCAGGGCCTGAGAAAGGGGCAGGCTTCAACCGCTCTCTCTCTGATCCCATTTCAGCAGGAAGCATCCTACACATTTTCTTCTATGCAGATAATTTACAGTGAGCCCAAAATTCCTCTTTTCCTCTTAGACAGAGAAGAAAATGGCCAGTTAGTATTGTGCAAAATAAAACAACATGGGTTCTGGTGAGTACACTGTCAGCCCAGGCCTGCCAGCTGGTCCTGACAATGTGAGAGAAGCACCGGACACATCACTAACAGACTTGATATCACTAACACTGTAGGTAGCTGGAAAAGCCACATGGGCTCTTTTCTTCTTCTTCTGTTACCTTTCTGAGAAATACAGGCTGACAGATCATGGATGGGGACAGGTATCTGATAACATTTGGGAGGGGATGGTGTCAGGCAATGTACAAATTACACAACATGAGAACATGGCAGATTCCTAAATGCTGGTGACATTCAGAAGCTGTTTTTGAGGAAAATTTGAAGGTGAGCAGGGGGTAGGGTAGCAGGTCAGGGGAAGAGGATCTGCAGCAGTGGTCAGGCCCCTGGATTTGTGACTATCTTCCTAATAAGACTGATCCTGGTATCTTTCTAGGAGATGCCAAGTCTCTGGGTGTCCCAGGCCACATCTCCCTGAGCTCTGGGATAATTCCAGAGTGGCGAAGTATGAAGTGTGTGCATCATTTGGCCACATTAGGGAGTGTCATGAATTCTGGTCGTGGCTGTGTGCTTTGCACATCCCTTGGGTCTGGCTGGCCCACAAGCCCATGCAAGGGGCTGGACCATGCCTCAGGCTCCCTCTATGGATGGCAACCATGACATCCATCTACGGTGGCCTCTGGAGGACAAGCTTCCTCCCAGATGCCTGGGTATTCCCTTTCAGTCTCCAGGTCAATCCAAGTCCAAGTTCCAATCTTGAATGATGTTGGGCACAAAGAGCAGAGTACAGGATTTCACTGCACTCAGAAGCATCTCCCTGAAGTACTCTGCCTCATGTGCAAGGTCCCTGTTCTTGGGGACACTGAGTGACAGGCCCCAAGTCTCATCAGTTGTAAAGAGCAGGGCAGATCTTGAAGTCCAGCCTTACCTGGTTTCATAGACTGCAGTTACACTGGTTCTGATTTTTCTCAAAACAGAGAAGACACAGGGACAAAGACTCCTAACCCTGATGAGACTCAAGTCCACTTCATTCAGTACCAGCACTTCAGAGAATGCCAGGCTCTCCTGCTGTCCCTCATCCCTTGCTGGCCACGAGGCAGGTGAGCTACCTACCAGGCCCTGGGAGCGCGGTGATCCAAACTGAGATGTGCTCTAAATGTGAACATCGAAGTCTTGGCACAAAAAAGGGAAGCATCTCATTAATTCAGTACTTTTTATATTGGAGCTGGGCGTGGTGGCACACACCTGTAATTTCGGCACTCTGGGTGGCTGAGGAAGGAGGATCATAAGTTTGAGGCCAGCCTGAGCAACACAGCAACTTAGTGAGACCCTCTCTCAAAACAAAACAAAACAAAACAAAACAAAACAAAACAAAACAAAACAACAAAAAGGGTTTAGTTGTAGTGTAGTGCAAAGTACTTGGTTTTAATCTCCAGTACAGAAAAAGAAATGGCTGGCTGTATGTTGAAATCATATTTTGACTATACAGGGTGAAATAATTACATTTAGAAATTATAATTCATATTTGTAGTGATACAAAATGAATGATTTAAAATAACTTTACTGGCTTCTTCCTGTTTAGAGTCACGGCTGTTGGAAAGTTGGCCGTGCTCTTGCGGCTTGCAGACATTCCCATTGGCCTCTGGTGTACTCTCTGACATTCCCAAATGCCTTCACCCTCTTCCTAGCTCCGTTTCTTCATTTGCCATCACTGTTGCTAGTGGGGCCAGCCAGGTCATCTTCGATGGATCCTGAAATTTCAGATGCCGTTCACAGCAGGAGAGTTATCTCACACTCAGGCAAGCACGGCCATACTCAGGTGCTCACGTGCTTCTTTCACGCCACACATATTTACGTAGCATCTTCGTTATGCTGGGGAATTAGGCCACGTTCGGGGACTATGTCTTGCAACAGAATGAATGAGTCAGTGGCTTGGGGAACTTCAGCAGAAGCAGAGGCCACTGAAATGGTTAATCATCTGTTTCAACTTGACTGGCTCCCAGGGGGCCCAGGTGTCTGGCCAAACGTTATCTTCAGGGTGTCTGTGATAGGACTTTGTGCGAGATGGAAATGGGAACTGGTAGACTGCGCAGCGCAGATTGTATTTCCTCTTTCAGTCGTGCAAATTGATGTGGTCCTCATGTAATCAGAGAGAGAGAACATGGCTAAGGGGACATCAGAGGGCTGACGTCTGACCTGCCTTACTCCAGAACAGTGCCTTTAGCTCTCGCAGTCTTGATTGTCCACCGCAGGTGGTGGGATTTCTTAGCCTCCACAGACATGTGAGCCAAGTTTTTTTAAATAAATAAGTCTTCCTCTCTGCCTCTTATCTGTGTATGCATGTGTCTGTTATTTGTCTACTTACAGATTTCCTATATGTTGTTTCTATGAACTCTTGACTACTAGAGACATTAAACAACTAATGAATAACTAAATAACTATATAACTGAATAATAAATAATTGCATGTGCTGAATAATTATATAATTGCTCCTCGGAGGTGTGGCTGTGGTATGGGGGGTCTATGGAAGTTTCTAGAGGCTGGGCTTGTAGCTCAGTGTAGCTTCACGTCCTTGGTTCCCCTGTGCTGTGGTTTTCACACAGAGATCTGGGGGTGATCATCCTCCATAACTGGCTCTTCTCTCGGGTCCGGAGGGTGAGTGGAAACCCAGCCAGGCCTATGCCCTATGTCTGACCCAGAAGGGAGAAAGCTTTTCCCATTCATTTAGAAGTTTTAGCTTCAGGTTGAAGAGGCAAAAAACAAAACACTGCTCTGTTTTTTAAAGTTCTTATTTCCTTTTCTTATTTAAATGAATTTGAGTGGATGAATTAATGAAAACGCCTCTGCTCCTTGGTACTCTGCATATTTTTTGTGGTTTTGATACTGAAACTGGAAATGTTCTCATATTTCACATTCTTTGTTGTCATATTTTCCATTCTAGAATACTCTTACACTGTGGGTGGAGAGCCTGGGGCTCCAAGGCCGGGCCACACTGGGGAAGCCTGCGGGTTTGCATGTGGTGGGAATATGGTGAGCTGAGCTTGCATGTCCGTCCTGGATGTCCACTGTCGGTCACCATGGGAATGATGGAAGAACCTGGTGGCCAGGCAGTGAGAGATAAAAGGAAACACACACCCTTCTAGATCTTGCCCCTAGTGACTACTGTCAAACCAGACCCCACTTCCTAGCAGCAAGTCAGGTGTAGCTCCTCCATGATTCAATCCTCTTCCAAAAGCCCTCTGTATGAGTGCATGAAGCCTCTGGTGGACATTTTTGTTATATCCCCTAACATCCTCCCCTGCTCTCCAAAAGACTCATGCACATCTCTTTATATCAAATACATTTATTTCATCTCTAAGAGTTGAAAAAATCCAAGTCCAAATCCTCTGAGACACAAGGAAAACTTAGCTACATGTCCTTGTGAAAATTAAAGAAAGAGTAAACACTTCCAACAAAAAATGGCATAGGGTAAGCATTTCCATTCCAAAAGGGGAGTAGAAAGCATGGGACAAAAGCAAGACTGAAACCTTGCAAATCAAATGCTGTAGCTCAGTGTTCAGCACCCAGGGAAAAGATGTAAATTCCGAAGGGCGTGGGCAGCATCACCCCTGTAGCACTGTCAGTTTCAGCTCTCATGGCCTCTCTTTGGGGGTAGCTCTGCTCACTGCTGGTGGCTTTCCTGAGCATGCATTCCATGGTCCTTGCTTCTCTAACCTCCTGGTGCTTCCTCTGCCCTTTCAGCTTCACTCTCATAGCTTCCTGCACTGCTCTTCAAGGCCTGGCTCCCTAGACCTTCTTCTGAAACCTGGGTAGAAGCCTCCCTGACCCCACATCTCTATCATCCTCCATGTCTGTAAAGCCCGGATCATGTGGGTGATACCAAATTCTGCCACTAGTTGAGCTGCAGCCAGGCCTCTTTGAATAATGGCTGCAGAGGCTTCTGAGTGGCTGCATGACTGAACACTGTGAAACCAATTGTAGGAACTTAATTCACAAGTAGGGTACCCCAGGCTTCTTCTCTCAAGCAGTCTTTGATTTTTGGACCCTTGAACTATTGAGGATGGGTTCTTGTTGATTGCAGGATCAGATGAAAACCATCCTCTCTATTATCCAGATGCAAAGTACTTGGCTTCTCTTTAGTGCTAATCTTTTCAGCAACCAAGTTTTCAAGAGCCAAATTCTATGGTCCCATTTTATAGGTGTTTCCTTTCTGGTTAGCAGCAAGTTTTTTAAATTATTAACTTGGTTCTTTGCTCCTGCTTCTGACAGAAGATCTTGCTAAAAGCAACAAATAGTACCTATTCTATGGCCAGAACACTGAATGCCTTGAAATTCTTTCTGCCAGATTAATAGTCTTGTATCCTAAATTTAGTCATCTGCAATGTCTCAGATGAGCAAAATGTAGATAAATTTTTTTCCGAGTATAACACATATGGTCTCGAGTCAAACTGCCAACTGAGACCTTGTTTCCAATGAAACCTCCTGAGTGTGGCCTTTAATGTCTGCATTTTTGTTTTATTTTAAGGAGGATAAAACAGAATAAAACATTTAAAACAAACCAGTGTAAGAGATACAGGACTTCAAAACATTACAAAATCAGTAATAGTTACCATAATGCCTTTTAATGTCTTCAAAATAGCTGCAGATAACTTTGGATGTAGTAAAAATCAAACAGAACAGAACAGAATAGAAACAATAAAAAAAAATGAATGCAATAAAGGATTTCAAAACAAGCCAACAGTAAATCCAAAATGGCTCCCATAGTATATCTTGCTACTTTGAAATAGCTGCTCCAGCCATTGGATTTGACATAATCAAACAAAACAAAAGAGAATAAAACCCAACCCAACAAAACAATGGAAAGGATGTCAAACCTCAAAACAAGACCATACGGAGTCAACAATGGCTGTAACTCTCAGGAGATCCCCGATATCTTCTGAACCTGTGTTCAGACCACAGGCCCTAGACCTGCAATGTTAGTGAAACACGAAAGCACCACAGGCATCCAATTGCTTTTCAACTTGATAGCTATCATCACAGCCTGTGTTTCTCTAGATAAGCTGGTTACTTATGTGGGATGGGGTGGGTGAGGATTGGTACTTTTTGTTTGCCAGCCCATGCTCCCGGAAGGGTCTGGGGTCTGGCTGTTTCCAGTCTAGTGGTGGCCTGCGCATGGTGCTGGTTCCCAGACTGGGCCTGTTTGCTGCTGCAGCCTTGTTCTCTCTCTCCCCAGTCCGTGAAAGGTGATGTCTGCATTTTTATGGGCATCTGGTCTCCTGAGCTCTAACTAGAATCTTCTATCAAGTTCAGTGTATAGCATTCTACAGCTTCTTTAGCGGACATTTCTAAACCTTTCCAAACTTCCCTTGCAAATGTGTTCCAAACGCAGGTAAACTACATGGTTAGGCAGTCACAGCAATGACCTTACATCTCTAGTATGAAAATATGTCTCAGTCACTTTTCTGGTTGCTGAGACATAATACCCAACATCCACAACTTAAAGGAGAGTGGTTTATTTTGGTTCATTGTTCAGAAGTCTCAATCCATGTTCAGCAGCCCTAAATAGAACCAGGAAGGTGCAAGACGCTGGCAAGGAGAAAGCTGCTCACACATGCCAGCCAGGAAGCAGAGACAGGGAAACCAGGAAGGGCGATGACCCTTCCAGTCACTCTCCCAGCGACCCACCTCCTTCAAGCCGGCCCTACCTTCTAACAGCAAGTTAGCTACTTGGCCTCCATAATTCAGTCACCCTTAAAAACTCCTGCCTATGAGAGCATGAGGCCTTTGGAAGATATTTCTGATATAAACCATAGCAATTCTTCTACTTCTTATGCCTAAGTCTGGCTTTCTACTAAATTTGATTATCTTCTTCCAAATATCATTTACTTGCTTTGTGACTTTTGGCAAATTAACCTCTATGAACCTTAATTTTCTTTTACACACAGTACCCACTCTGTTCTTATTTTCACAAAATCATTGAGTGCCCCAAACTGAAGGCAAGTATGAAACTCTATATATCGTGTCTTCTATCTATACATGCATACCTATGAGAAAGTTTGATTTATAATTTAGATGCAGTACAAGGTTAACATTAATGACAAAGTAGAGTGGTTACAACAATGTATTTACAACTAAAAATTATGTGAGTGTGTGAAATACCTCATCGTATCATTGGATAGTTTTGGACTGTTTACTACATGTAACACCTTCAAAAGTAAAATTACTGAAGAGGTGCTACTAAAATGCTAAATTAAATAAGCAGTAGGTCATTAGTTTGAGGCACTTTAGTATGCACTTTGTGCATAATAAACTACAATCTAACTTTGTTATAAACAATCGGAGGCATAAAAAACAGCTAAATTTCAGCCAAGTTCACCTGGACAGGGGGAGGCGGCAGGGGCAAAACATTCTGGCAAGTCACCTGTTAAAACTGAAAATTGGATCTGACCCATGTCATCAAGATACCACGACTCTCCCCTCAATACTGGAGACCCTCGGAAGGTGGCCCTGTGGCTTCATCTTGGGAGCAAGGGTTCACCCTTGATCAGAGCTGGTGACACGGGAGGCTTTAAACTTGTCCCGGCCCTTGCTAAGGATCCCACAGCGGTCCCGTAGGCCAGCTTACTGTGCTGTCACCCGCGGAGGATCAGCGCAGGGAAGCCGCAGACTGGGACACAGCCCCTCCCCTGGGACCTGTGACCCGAGCGCGACCTCCGACCCGCGGCAGCGCTCACACTCTCCCAGCCCCCGGAGGTCCCGCTACGAGTGCTTGATCTTTACGGTTACTGCACGTTTTATTTAATTTGCCCGTGAAAGTCTTTCTCTTCCGACGCGCTTCCGTTTTGTTTTAAGACGGAAAATTTCAAAACTCACGACGCGACCCGGAACAGCCGCGCAGCTTTCCCGAGGCGCACCGGCGGCCCGCGGACGGCAGGTGGCAGCATTGCGCAGCCGATGGCGCCCGCGTCCTCCCGCCCCGCGCCCCGGAGAGGACAAGGGGCTCCTACGGCGGGGCGTAGCGGTTGCTTTGGATACTGGGTCCGGCTCTCTTGGCTTTTTAATTTTCCCCCTCACCGAGGAGAAGCGCCGCGAAGGGGAACGTCCCGCCCCCGACCCGTCACCGCTGCAGACCCCGGGGCTCCGCGTGGCCCGCGCTGCCGCCTGTGGCCGGCAGAGGGCGCCGTGGTCACGCGCTGCGCTGTCCCTGCAGAGAAGCGGCGGCGCCGCAGTGCCCGCGTCCGCGTCCTACGCGCGACCTTGGGAGCCCCAGCTGCCAGGGACGGGCCGCGCCTCGGACACCGCCGTCCACCTAGCCGTCCTCTGGCCCCGTCTCTGAATCGGCGGCCTCCTTCCCTCCGGCTGTGAATCCTCGAGTGGCCTCCTGGTGGAGGGAAGATCCTTTGTGACCCCAAATTCCCGCAGCTGTCCGCGCCGCTCCCCGCTCCCGGCTGCCCCTTCCTAGGCCCACCCTGCACCCCTGCACCTCACCGATCCTGTCCTCGCCTCGTGGATTCTTCTAGAACGCACGCGGTCCCCCCTCCTGAGATCCGCCCCACGCGGAGGCGCCATCCCGGCCGCGCCTGATTTGGGGTTCCCTCCCTTTGCAGAGCCCTGCGCTGCCGGCTCCCCGACCCTCCCCTTGGGCCTCTCCGCTGTCCTCTGGCTCCCCGGTGACCCGCGTGCGTCCTGGGGACAGACCCACCACCGCCCTCCTCCGGGCTGACACCTGCTGATGAGGGGTCCTGGGAAACCGCACTGTAACCTCCAGTCTGGATTTCTGGCTTGACCTGCAGGCCCATTTCATCACTTTGTGGCTAACGAGAAGTCATGCTTAGAGAGTAGCCGAGGTGATCCCGGGCTTCACACTGAGGGTGGTTGCGGGGCAGTCTTTCGCCTAGCGGAGCTCTGCTTCTCTCGCTAATGTGCTCCAAGCTACACGCGCACGCACGCGCGCGTGCACACACACACACACACACACACGCACACACACGCACACACACACACATGCACGCACAGGAGAGCAGGTCCCCCCCACCTGGAGCTGTGTGCCAGGATCTCACCACCTGTGTGTTCCCGTCCGTCCTAAGGGACAGTTGCCCGAGCCCCTGTTGGTAGTGCTGGCTTTCGTGTTGAGCCAGGAGACCTGACTGATCAAAAATGGAAACAAAACAAACGGAGCAACCACAAAGATAAGCTGTGTGTGCATCAGAGACTTCTGAGACTTTGAGCAGAACCCTGAAGACCTTTCCAGTTAAATCCCGAGAGCTGAGCTGAGACGACCCTGAGTTGTGAAAGATCAGGGAGCGAGGCGCTGGCCGAGGCCGGAGCGGAGGACACGCAGGCAGGGGCAGAGCCAGAGGGGGCGGGTGTGGGGTCAGGCAGGCCAAGGCCCCCGCTGCTAGTTTGTTAGAATTTCCAGCAGTCTTTTGACTTCTGGTGTTTTAAGTTTTCTCTAAGACAGGGTCTGGCTGTGTAGTCCAGGCTGGCCTTGAATTCGCTTTGTAGCCCAGGCTGCCCTCAAACTTGCAGTGATCCTCCCAAGTGCTGGGGTTATAGGTGCGCACCTCCACATCCAGTTTTCTACCTTCTCCCCAAAGCCTTTTCCTTTAGTCTACTCTGGAATTGTAGCCAGTCCACGAAGAAGCAGACATTAAAAGAAAACAAAGGGAACACAGTGGGTGGGCAGGGTCAGCAGGGTGTAGCAGGTGCACCCGGGTGCCCGGGCAGGGCAGGGAGGTGAGTGGTGCCTGCTGGTGGTGGTCAGAAGGCAGAGCCCCCAGCTGGGACTTCCCAGTCCTGACTGAGGATCCACTTCCTCCACAGCAACCACTTTCAGCCCACAAGTGAGCCACAGCTCCAAGAGTCAAGTGCTTTTCAGAGCTGTCACTAGACCTGTGGGCCGGGGAAGCTCCCCAAGACATAGCAACACTTAGCCCTGGAACTGAGGATGTTTGCGGGGAAACGGAAGTGGCAAAGACACAGCCCCTGCACTCGGGGAACACAGGCACCTAACTGCATCACAGGCGCTAAAACAGAAATGTGTAATTTTGCAAAGCACTCTGTCTTAGTAACTTTTTACTCATCACTAAGGCAAAATACCTGATGCCCAAAGTTGGGAAACGAAAGGTTTATTTCTTACAGTTTTTGGAGGTTTCAGTCCACACTCAGTTGGCTCCAGGACAGGATGGCATAGCGAGGCTGCTGTTCATGGCGTCTGCAAACAGCAAGGTGGAAACCGCAAGGGAGAGAGACCCGCCTCCTTCCCGCCATTACATTGTATGCTGGCTCCTCCCCTAGGTGGGTGTGGCACCGACACCATCAATCCAAGGCTAGACAATGAACCAATCACAAATGCACAATGCAAATGAATGCGGCCTGGGGGCCATCGACACAAACCATGACACACACCAAGAACGCAGGAGAATGTGAGCCAAGTAAACTCTCCTCCTTAATAAAAGAAAGGACACGAGAGAAGGAAAAATTAACTCTGTCTTTGGTGTTCATGGGAAGGAGATGGAGACTTTCAAAGAGGATGTGACTTTTGATTTGGACTTCGAAGGATGTGCAGGAGTTTACCACAGGAGGGATTTGCATTCTAATGATGAAGGGTGTGTGAGGGTATAGTGCACTATGCAGGATGACCTCAGTGATTCAGGCCTTCCTGGGTGTGTGTGGGTGGTCGTAGGGGCCAAAAACCAGGAAAAAAACAGGCAAGAGCTAGAGCAGGAAGGGCCTTCAAGTTATGCCGTTAGGAGCCTTTACTTTATCCTGAAGTCTTGTAACCAGCTGGCTTTGGGAAGCAATAGGTGGGCTGCCTAGAGGAAGGAGAGGCCAGTCACGGTGCAGCTGGATCTCAGCGATATCCACCAAGCGCTGTAGCAATACCCTGCGGCCAAGAGGAGAATCAGGCAGGTCCGGTACGGTGCCTAACTGCCACACTGCCCTCTGGGTGCGCATGTTAAGATGGTCGTCACGGTTCTGGTGCTGCTCTTAGGGTGCTATATCCATCTGTCCATCTATCCATCCATGCATCCATGCGTGCACCTAGCAACCCATCCATTAGTCTATCTACACACCCACCCATCCACCCATCCACTCATCCATCCATCCAACCTTCCATTCATCCACCCATCCACCCACCTACCCACCCAGGCTTCACTGAATATTTCACTATGGGCCAAGTATAGCACTAGTGTCAGGAGGAACATGGCACAAAAATAATCATGAGCCCTGTTCCTGAGCTAGGGAGAAAGTTATTGCTCAGAAAATCTCATTATTCAATGTGTAAATTTCCCTCTTGGAAGTGAAGGAAAGCAGTGAGTGTGTAACGGAGGACTGTCCTGTAGCTGAGAATCAAGGTTTTGTTGGAAGCTCGCTGGAGATGGGGTGAAGAGGGGGCAGTGGGCCAGGAAACAATGTGCAAAGGCCCTGTGGCCTGGAGGGTGCTGAGTGGTTGAGAAACTGGAAGGCAGTGGTCAGGTGTGAAAGGAGAGAGTGAGGTGTACTGGTGAAAGAGAAATACACACGTCACTGGGCGTGTCCTGACACCTGTCGGACCAAGCTGTAAGTAAAGTATGAAAATTAGAGCTGGAGAATCAAGATCTCTCAAACCCTGCAGCTATCAACTAAAAGCGAGGGGATTAAGCAAACAAAAAGTCCAAACCTAGTATAAAAATATAATCGACTTTCAAAGTGTTACATTTTAGAATGTTTATCACTACGTATTTCTAATATTGAAAAAGTGGAAAAATGATCTAGGATAGTCCTAACTGTAGGAAAATCATCATCTCCCCCATGTATGTAAAGTTGAGAACATTAACCCTAAAATCACACCACTTGGGTCTGAATTCTCCCTTTGCCATCCATATGCCTTTGGGCAAGTCACATGAGCTTGCTGTGCCTCAGTTTCCTTATCTAGATTTTAGGGTGATACCTTGACCTCACATAGTAACCTCTGCATGAGTGCTGCAAGGGGGCTGTTTTTTAACGTATCACGATTGTTTTCATATGCAGTGAATTGCAAAGTTCTTGGTGTGTGATGTTACATGGGGAGAAACATGTAGCATTACACAGTTTAATCTCAGCTTGTTGCAAATTCCATTAGCGTTTTTGTGAAGCTTGTGCCTTCCATGTTCTTGTCCGCGGTGTGCGATATGATCCCATGTTTCTAATGAGCGGGCCACTGCTTTCTCCTTCCTGGCTCCTGTGAGCCACAGCCTGCCCAGGGGGGCCAGCACAGACGGGGGTGGCCCAGGCTGTGTGGCCTCCCCTTTCCCGTTGCTGTGGTGGCAGTGTGAGTGGATTCATCAGCACTAAAAGGCCCTTCTCTCTTTCCTGGTGGTGCCCTCCTGTGGCAGAGTTAAGGCTCCTCTGGCCCTGTTTATTCAGACTGAGGGCTCAGGAACCCTCCTGTGTGTCCTGGAGGAGGGCACTGAGACTCTGATGGGCCTGCTGCAGGGTACACTTGCTGCTCCTCCGCACTGATGTCTGGGGAGCGTGGTTGGCCACAGCCTTGGGCTGCCCTGTCCGCTGTCTCAGCTGGTCAGGGGACAGTTCTCAGGACAGTATCAGGAAGGGAGCTCTTCTGATTGCTTTATGCCAGCAACGTCCAGGGCCTCGTGTGATGCTTAAAACTTCAGCCCTAACAGCAACAGTTCAACAGTCCAGGCTCCCGTATGAGACTGGTTGCTGTTTTCGGAAATGCCTGGAAACCAGGAGCGTAAGGAGATGAAGTTAGGGGTGTTGCTTTCTTTGTCCCTAGGAGGCTTTCTTGCTTCTCTCCAATTGGCTCCGGCATTCCGCAGAGACGTCCGGCTTTGGTACCCGCGGCAAGAGACAGACAGCCTTTGTCAAGAAGAATTTGCTCATGACTGATGTTCTTGCCGCTGGATGATGGATGTCTCTGACTCAAATCTGCAGAACTCGAAGAGACTACCCCTAGGATTGTTCCCAGAGCAAAAAAGAAAATTGTGTCCCAAGATGACTTGTTAGACATGAAAGTGGCTGGCAACTTTTAACTTGCAGATTTTTTGCTAACAAAAATTATGAGATCCTGTCTCATCAGGGAGATGGCTACATATTCATGAAAAAGAGACTGACAAGCAAGAATTGTGGCATGATCTTAGTTTTACTTACCTTTGGGCAGTGGGCGTCCAATGAAGTGTTTTCTTTTTTATGTATTTTGTTATGTTTACCAGTCTTTGACAATGAATATGCATTATGCTCACAATTAGAACCATAGATTCTGCTAACAGATTTATTTAAAAAAAAAAAAAAGCCAGTCCTTTGAGTGAAGAGCAGATGGGAACGTCTCTGTGATTTCTTGATGCTGTCTTAGATCCGTGCAGATGTCGCACCGGACAGCCCCATTCTCTGCAGGAGACCTGGTCAGAACTCTGTTACACGGGAGTTCTGAGTGACCACATGACGAGAGCTTGGAATTAACGTCTGTGTTGGGGTCAGAGTTTCAGTGAGGCCTCCAACAAGGTCACTGGTCACAGCTCACCCCTCCGGAAGCTTGCATGGGGAGGCCCACGGGAGGCCAGCATGGCTCCGGTGTGAAGACTCGCTGAGGACGCATGGGGTGCAGAAAGGCTGTTCCACTCACAGGTACGGTTTCCACGGCAGAACGAACCGACTGGAATCAGCAAAAG